ACACACACACACACACACACACACACACACACACACACACACACCTAATTTCCACACATGCGCGTTCAGTCGCTTAGCATTAAGAGGCTAAACCAGTACAAGGTCACGGTGTTTGTGTTGTTCAGCTGCTGCTTCCATTAAAACCTCCTGAACGTAAATTTGACGCTGATRAAACGAGCTCGTGCTGCTGACGTCCTTACCGTACACGCCCTGCCCGTGCACGCCCTGCAGGAAGCTGGTAAACAGCCACAAGAGTCCAAGAAGTAAACCCATCTTCTCATCCTCCTCTGCCCGCGTCGCTGCCTCTCCGCCTCCCATTCCCGCCCTCACCCCCCAGGATGTCGGCTCGGTTCTCCTCCGGAGCCGCTGCTCCCTCCTCCTCCTCTTCCTCCCCTCCGGTCCGGGTCCTTCCACACGGAGTCCGGTGCGACCGGTTCTCATCCACAACGTTTCCTCGCCAGCTCCGTCCGCGCGCTCCCCACGCCGAGCCCCGACCACCCGATCCCGGTCAGATGTGCTGGGCAGGTCCGGTTCTGTTCATCACTCGGGGAGAAACTAACGGCAGAATCAGAAACGGAACCGGTTCTTCAGTCGTGACATTGATGATTAAATATGAGAGGGGGTGGGAGTCAGAACCAGGAGCATCCTCAGACCGCCGGGACGATCTGAGTCAGCTCCCCCCGGCCGGACCGCCGGTTCCTCCGAGCCGTAAGCTCCATAAACCGATCCCCCGGAGAGGCGGCACCGGCTCCGGGTGCTGCCGGACAGAAGAGCGGCTGGTCGCGGCCCTCMAGGCCGAGGAGGGGAGGGGGAAGCTTCGTGATGCCGTCAGTCTCAGCGCGGATGGAGCCGCGGAGAGCCGTCAGAGGATTTTACCGGTCAGAGTGACGTCACTRAGCAAAACCAGGGGGGTGAACGACGCACACAGCAGGGCTTCCGGTGGCATCCTTTCAAAATAAAGACTCCCTGACCATTAGTTATAAAGGCGGGCGATAATGTAATTTTGTTAGCAAAATATCTTATAAACCACTGCAAACCACTGGACGGCTAATAAAAAACAAAACAGTTAATTTTTTTAAATAAACCTGAAGATTCAAGATTGTGGCTGAATCTAATGATATGGAGAGAAAATAGACTCATAAAGTTTGTGTGTGTAATAAAGTTTGTGTGTGTAATAATGTTGGTGTGTGCGTGTGTGTGTGTGTGTGTAATAAAGTTTGTGTGTGTGTAATACAGCTAGCATAAAAACAGCTAAAACGTGGTCATCTACAGAAATGTAGCTGAAATTTGGTGTGGTAGTAGCTGAGAGTCCTCCCCAACACTTACTCGGAAATATCATCATTACACTTTATTAATGTAACTGTGTTGTTTTGTCTGTTAGCAAAATATTTTTCAGCACAAATTCTTACTATAGCTTTTTAATTGTGTGTAATTGTATTTATTGTTTTACATTTTATACCTAAAACATTGGTAAATACATTAAATTAWCTATTTTATTGCTTCATTTTCAACCAGTCAGCTGATTATCAATCGCTTTTATTTAGA